CGGAGCCAAATCCGGGGATCAAAAACCGCGGATCAACAACAAAAGAAAACGTGGTTGACAACTCATGAAAATTCATGGGACTTTGGAGGATGAAAAACACAGTGATCAAACAGCAACAGAACCTAGGGATGAACAAACGAATAGGGCTCAAACAACAAATAAAAAGCGGCTGACAATTCATGAAAACTCGTGGAAACTGTGACAAATGTGAAAAATGATCAAAAACGTGAAAATGATGAATATTATGAAAACTGATGAAAAATGAAAAATAATGAAAAATATTGAAAAATATTGAAAAACATTGAAAAACATTGAAAAATGATGAAACATCATGAAATATATCATGAAGATTGATGGAAATAACTACGAATCATGAAAAAGCTGTAAAAATTCATGAAACATGTGAAAATAATGAAAATGATGAGGAATTAAAAAGGAACCTCGTGAAGAAATCATGCGAGTAACATGATGACAAATGCTTGCACAGCTGTGCCCTGAAAAATAACAGGGGCCGGTTTTGGGAGAGAGGCGCAGCACGCCCCCCCNNACCCCTCCCCTATTCTAAAACTTGGACAAAGATCAGAAGTTTGACCTTGCAATGCGATGAATAATGAGAAGGGGATGTGATCAAAAAAGATGAGAACGATGAAGCAACTATGACAATGATGAAAAATGATGGAATATGACTAAGAAGAGGACAAATGACGAAACATGTGAAACTAGTGAAGAGGATGAATAATCGAAAAGAAAACTTGTGGACAAATCCTGATGAGGAACATGATGACACGTGCTTGCGCTATTTCTTTCTTCCTTCGATTCTCTCGTTGTTTTGCTCGTTCTTTCTTTCTTTCTTTCTCTCTTTCTTTCCTCTTCCGGCTCGGGACTCGAATATTTTTTTTTCTAATCCTCGCTTCGGAAGCCAGAACTGAGGTTTATACGACAAAATCCAACATGTTGTTTCTTGTTTGATCCTTATTTGTAGTTTTTGATCCTCATTTTTGTTGATCCTTATTTGTTCTTTTTGACCTCCTTCCCACCCTGAACCCCTTATCCAGCTAGAATGTTCAACCCTAATTCCTAGGAGCAACTCCAAATGGACATCTCCTGTCGGGGACCTTTTTAAGGCTCTCAAGAGGCCTCGAGTTTCGGGCTGCTGGAATGGGTCACTTGGAACCCTTGCCAGCGTGGGGACTCGCAACCATGGTCTGCTTTTCGCAGAACTCGATGGTCCTGCCGGGTTAAGGTTTAGAGGTGCAAGGGTTGGTTGGGCTTTAGCGGTAGCGAGGGTTCTTTGGTTGTTCCGCGCAGGCTTGTAGGGCTTTGCTGGATAATCTCCTTTAAGAACGTCGTATAGCTAACCAAGCACAAACATGCACAAACTCTTCTGAGCTTGATGCACGGAATGTGTCCAGGTTGCGGATGATTTGCGATTCTGATGATCCTGTTGGGTTTGAAGCTGTGGGTTGGGGCTAAAGGGCGCCTAAGATCCTGAGTTACCCTTACACTGGAGGAGCTTGTTAGCCAGGCATTGTCTGCGACTCATCTTCGGCTTGTTCTATGGCTATGTCATATTTCTACATTCCCAGACACCATCAGTCACCCGCAGCTTCAGAAGCCAATAAACCTCTGGCTTTCGGAAGGGTTTACGTTGCTTAGGAAATGAAATAGCGCCAAGTCATCCCAAGCTTTCTCAATGACGCCCAGCCAGATCCCAAAATCTCAAATCATCACCCCACTTTAAACTAAAAACAACCTAGCCTCCTCCTCCCTCCCTCCTCTCTTCCGACTTAATCTCTCTTCCGACTTAATTCGCTAAGGCGCCGGCGTCAACCCCCGCATCATGAGCATGGCATGAAAGCCCGTGAACAGTATCAGCAGACCTCCTGACATCTTTGGAGCTTGCGAGGGTTGCAACATGTATGAGCGGTGGTTCCTGTTGTGAACATCCTTAGACTGAGAATCTGATGTACACACGCGTGTACAAGAATGGGGGCCAGTCTCCGGAAGTAAGTCTGGCAGCTTCAGTTGCTTGTGCAGCAATTCCACAGAGATTGTGCATGATTCAGGCAAATGATGATGGAACACAAAAAGAATGGAAGGGTCTTTTGTTTTGGAACCTCAATCTCCCTGAACCTGAAACCCAGAAGAATTCCTGAGCAGATAGACCGACCAAATCCCCTGGAGCCAGAAAGAACTTGTCCTCAATGAATCACAATGGTGCCTCTTGGGTGTGATGAATGACTTGTTTTGGGGGTTGGCAGACGTGGATCCTACGACGTTGGTGTGGCATCCGGCAAGGTACCAGCAAGCATTGCAATTGGGACCTTTCCAAAAGGAACGGTTTGAGAATTCTTGGCGCCTGATGCACCCAACGCACTTTCTGGGTCCCACAGAAGCTTTGGAATCAGCGTCGTTGAAATTGCTTTGCTTCAGCACCCATTGGCATCAGCCATAACAAGCCCCAGGAAGCCTATTTTGAAAAGTTTAGAAGATTGAAGATTCCAAGAAAAGCGGTGCGCAGTGAGTGCCTGAACCAGAGTAGGACAATCCTGAGCCCTCCGCCTTGACTCTGGATCCTTTACTCCAACCTGTGAGAACTTCGAAATCTGCAAATGTGGCCGAATCAACCGCTTTGGCGGGGCACCCATGAAAGCAGTGGTCACGAAACAGAGCATCAGGAGGAATCGGTGAGAAACAGGCATGTCCTGCACGTCTGGCAAAATCTCAGTGCAACCATCTATGATAGACTCAAGAAAGTTTGGATGGCGGCAAATCTAAACAGATTCTCAGGCATCTTTTCTCTTTCCCAGGGCTGCAGCACATCACGTGGAAAAACGTGGAGCCTGCACCTGGGCCTTTGTCGTCATAAAAGGATGGGCCCAAAATGAAGTAGTTTCTGTTTTAAAGGACATCATCAACTCCTGAATAAACCTGTTTAATGTCAGGTTGTTACTAGAGACAAGCGTCATCCCCAAGCACTAGAATCCTCATGATTCCTCATGCTGTTCACGTCCAAAACAGCCGACTTCGCATATATCCATATGCTTCCATAGCATTAGGCCAAAAACATGCGTGCTGGAAGAGGTAATTGCACCCATCTTGCTAAACGAAAGCATCCGACTCCCAGTACATCCATGCCAATGCACATCGGTTCTCAGGATAGGATAGGTTTTGGGCACAGCTTTGGGCAAATGCGCCTCTCAAATTGGTCTCATGCGCTTGCTTATTTTCCAAAAGACAGGAGCCGTGATCCTCACGACAAGTCAAGACACCGCAGAACGTGCGTCCTTCTGCACTGATTGGAAGAGTGATTCTAAGGTAGTGCCGCCGATAAACATGCAGCCTGACCGCAAATTGGCATAAAGGGTTTCAGGAGCAGTGCTTTGGGTTTTTTAGTCTCCAGGAAGGTCCGAAAGCTTGGGCCCGAAGGTGTGGGCCCAGGTTTGCAGCCTTGTCCTCCACACTCAACGCTGGGGCTTCAAAGAGTTGGGAGCATTTTGTAGCACAGCGTGTACGGTAAAGTAGGTATGAGGCTTACAGGCAACAAACTGCGTCTGAGGCAGGTCGTGCGGTTGAGGGTACACTAGGATACTTCCAGGCAGGCAGTCAGGCTTTTCGAGGCTCTAGGCTTTGAGTGGATTTTGACATGTGTGGAGAGCGACCAAGCCTAAGATTAGATGGCCTGACCAGCGCATCGTCCCAATCCCAATACCTGGACGTGCCCTGGAAACTGGGCAGTCTTTCCACTGCCTATTGTCATTGGGGCAAGCATGAATGGAAAAAAGGAAAACACTGCTTCAAGAAAATAAGAAGTGCTGATCCACAACCTGCTGGTTTTTCTGAAAGAGAAATATTGCTGCCCCTGGGGCAGCAAGGCTGTGGGGACCTTTCTGTTTTGGGTCTCAAGTACTCTTTCTGGGCTTTACCATTCAGCATCTCTGCAAGAAAATTCGCCTGCCCCGCTGCTTCAAAATCTACTGATCAAAGCCACTCCCTGATAATTGCTCAGCCCGCAGCTCAGAAGTGCGTACACGACGAGCAAGGAGAAGTACTTGTGGTTCCTCTGCAAGATGCAGCTGTACTTTTGGACATGTCACATGAAACTTGCGAGTTTACTCTGGGGTTGGGGTGGCGCAATGCTACAACCTACCCTTGATAGGCAAGGCCGCACGCCTAAGTTTCACGATGTCTTAGAAGAACTGCCAGGGGCTTCTTTTGGCGAATGCTGGGCATCTGAAATATTAAAACAAAATTGGCGTTAGGGGGTGTGAGGAGGAGGGCAGCCAAGTGCATGGAACGATGCCATGTGACTCTGCTGGGAAGCGTTTTAGCGAGGACACGATTATTCAGCATGTCGGGATATGCCAGCAAAGGTATTCAACCTGGAGTGGCACATGCCAGTCAATCGCAAACAAGGCTCAGCACCAAAGGTAAGAAGCCCGTCACCTGTTCCCCATATCAACATTATTTCGTTGCTTGCACTGTGTAGGGCCGGAGAAGCAATCGAACATTAACCTGCACGACGCTGTGGAACCCCAGGCGTCACACTGAAAGCCAGCATGGAGATCCTGCTGTGATTCCAAATCAGCACCTGCCGGCCCCGACCCTCCGCATGCATCAGGGACGCGGCTCCTGAAACCTACGCAGTTCATGATCCAAGGGCAGTGGTGATCCATTTTCCTCAGGAGAATGCCATGAAGGTTTACGGTGTAGGGGCATGTAGCGTTTAAATTGGTGGGTCCAGGGCTGGCGTGCTAGGTCTGTGCCGCTTCCGTAAATGAGGCGATGTCTAAAGAAGCCATGATCTGCGTGTACACAGCACAGGTATCCACCCAAAACATGTCTTTTGCAAAGAACATTGCAGTGGCGAAATTTTATTGCAGGTAAGAAGCAAAATGCAGCATTTGCAGATTCGACAATGGTGACACCTGACAGGTCAACATCATTTGCAGGCGGTAGGTGGGTGATTTCAAGGTGGGTTAATCCGACAAGGGCCTTCTCAACTTCTCTTGTTATGGCATTGGCGTGGAAGTCTGTAAGAACTGGCTCTCAGCTTTCCGCCTGAAGTTGTCCTCTACCAACCTATCTGGGGCAGGCCGTGCAACCGCAAACCCCCGCTTCGCCATCCTTCAGCCCTCCGTAGACCAAAAGGTCTTCATCCCTCGACCCCACGGCCTAAGACTTTCATCGTCTTCCCGAAGCCATGATCGCTAAAACATAAGCCCTAAACCCCGCCCCCTCCCTCCAAATCTTGACCTTTAGGCTTTAGACCTTGAAAGATTGAAGTTGCTCCCCTGGCGATGCAGGCTAGCACCACTGCCAGCCCCACCTAGTGCCACCCTCTGGTCTTATCCAACATCACAACCCCGCCAAACAGTGATGTTGCTGCAAAAGCTATACTGGCTCCGTATCTGCATAACCAAGTCACCCCAAAAAGGCTGCTCTAGCCCAAATCTGAGAGAAGCGATGTTGAAACAAACACAATAACTAAGACCTCAGTGTGTGTCCATAATCATCCTTAGCAACACTACCGAACAAGCTGCACCTGTCCGGCTTGTAGATGAGGCAGTGCTTGCAGCGGCGGCGCTCCCCATTTGCGGACTTGACCTGCCCAGCTCAGAGCTTTGGGGTTTACAGCTTTTGCTTTTGATTGCAATTGCTGGAAGCACTGTTAATTTAGAGTTTAGGGGCTGGCATTTTAGGCTGCTTCATGGACAAAGGAAATCATGGCTGCAGAGGATTCTGGTTCATGGCATGTATGGCTTCCGAGAGTAGTGAGGGTTATGTGCATCACGTGTACAAGGATTCTTTGTCAAAATGCTAGTGTGTAAGTGCATATTTGCGTTGCCATGTCAATTTGCTCCAGACATTGCAAGGCTCCTTCTGGGGTAACAGTTCGCGTGCTGCGAGCGAACACGAAGCCTCTCAGCTTTCAGTTAGTTCGGGCGACCTCAATTATTGGTGCGGGCTTCGAGACATGTATATCTACATCAGTTTTGACCCCAACTATGTTATTACCTTGCCGTACAGTCACGAGTATCCGCACATCTGCTCATGGTCGATTTTATTCTACGGGAAACTTCAAAAACGCAACTTGGAGGCCATAGTTTCACCGATTTTGAACTGGTTTGTAGCCCCATAGCCCTTTAGTGCGCGCTTGCCGACTATGCTGCATGCCGTTCAACCACCTGTTGATGACAAACTTCTTCGAAGTTTCTTCTTTTCCCAGAGAGCCTACAGGTGGTCTTGTGTTGCTGGGAGCTTTGCGCAATTGAGCGTGCCCACTGCGCGTGATGCTAATTCAAAATTGCAGACAACGCAACCAAAACCGTGAGGAACTATTTTGCCTCACATGAAGCTGCTAGCCAGCTGTGTAAACTGGCTCCAAAGCCTTCCATCCCCATGAACCTATGCCCCCTCCTGAAATTGCCCCCGGGCTCAGTGTGGCCCGGTTGAAGAGCATGGATTTTGGACTGCCTTCTTGCACGAGCGAGTTTTTCAAGTAGAGGTTGATGGCAGGAGGATGCCAACAAACATCATAGTAGATCGGAATACGCTTCTCTTGCTCTGCCACAGCCCTATTTCATTATTTCATTTGTGGCCCTAACAATGCTCATTATCAGAAACATCAAAGGCACAATAAGGCGAGGTACAATACTGTAGCAGATTGCTTCCCTTATGAGAGAGCTTGGAAGGCCGGCGCCGGCCCATGCATCCTTTGTGGGTTTAGTTTGGGGGTGCATGGTTACAGCCATGATGACATTCATAACAGTTGGGGCGCTGATGGCGCATGACCCTTGTGTAGTACTCTGCCAAGAAAATCCGCCTATCTTGTGGCCCACGGGCGCTAAAGGGAGCGTTGAATGCAGGGCTCCTGTTGACGGACACTGAGATATCATGTGACGACAATCCCATTCGGTCAAGTGCCTGCCTCTTTTGTCATGTTCGGATCCTTCCGCAACAAACTGGATCGTCACATGCTTCGGTCCACTGCAACTTCTCCGGTGAAGTGAACACCCCAATCAACTTTTGCTGGAGACGTCTGTAAACAAAGGCCTCAAACACTCAAGAATGCTGTTCAACAGTTCAACCTGTGTCTCTGCAAGAAGTAGGCTTCATGTCTTGCAACACCTGTGGTCTCTGAGCGTGCATTCCTTCGGAGGACAAGGGCATGTAATCTTGAAGCAATTTTCCTTTCAAGATTGGCTGTCTTGAGAAACTCCTGATTCGTTTGCTGAGTCCGGTCCTTGAAGGCGCCAAATCGCCACTCAACGGCCTGCAATCATTGGCTCAAGTCTATTGCCTGCCGCTGTCTTTGTCCCAAATGTGTATGGCACCACCGTCGGATTCTTTCTGGGCACCCGATGGGGCTGGCCTAACTGTCCCAAAAGCAATCCTACCGCAACCTGCTGTACTTACAATATGTCACGCCTCTTTGTCTGGGATGTAATTGCTTCCAGCCCGGCAGCGTTTTGTTGAAGTGTCTTTCAAGAGTGGCCACATGATGGGCTGGGAAACCTTAGCCAGCCCTCCCGAACCTTTGCAAGATCTGCAAAAAACTGCAAACGAAGTCTCGCAATTGGCGATTCGACAGCTTCACGAAACCTACGCTCTGGGACTTACGAAGCAAATCTGGGCTTCGTGGAGCTGAGAAGCCTTGGGGGAAGCTTTAGCAGAGATCTCTCTGTGTGAAGTACTGTAAGCAGTTCTCGCATGCTGATGCTGGGATTGCTACCCAGAATTCACTTTACCAATTTGTTCACTTAAGCTGAAGAAGAGCAAGGCTCTAGTTTGAGATTTCAAGGTTTTTCGGATGAGTAGTTGGACCACCGTGCATATCCGTATGTAGGTCCAGAAGAGTTTTTGGAGCCTTGCATTCTGGGGACGGGCGGGGAGGGGGGGGGGGGTTGCGGTGCGATAACCAGTTCAACACTAATAAATCCTCAGGAAGTTCGTAGGTTCAGTCCAGTCATGATTCATGCAGCCATGCCCCGGTCTCCACGAATCTGGTACGCGGTGGTTTGGCAAGTTCAGCAATCGAGACTTTTTTCAAAGACTCAAAACATGTTTTTTTTGCAGCTTTTCCAGGCCATGGGTTTTTGAGGCATCTGCCCGCTGCACTCTAAGGGCGCAATGCAGATTTTGTGAATTTTGTGGTAGCAATACGCAGCATGACACCCGAAAACTTGTTTGGAAACGCAGGTCATAGACAGGACCTGGCGAGCTGTCAAGAGTTGGATGCCACACGTGCGTGCGGAGGGCTCGAAAGATGCCCACTCGCCACTCCCGCAGCTAGAGTTGGAACAGCCCTGTCGGCGGGTTTGGAAACAGTCGCGGCCCCAGCCTCTGACAAAAATGTTCTGCACGACGAGCTGTTGAAAATCAAGCGGGTGCAAAGCAAACGTTTGAGCCTCAGAAGTTCTGGATTTCCGTAGCAGTGTGGGGCTGTCGTGCAAGAGGACATTTTTTCGTATACCACTCACAAGCCTCACAAGCTGCACTTCCTTTCCCTGAGAGTGCAGCATGCAGATGCTTCCCAAAATCCATGACATGGAAATGCTGCAAAATCACCAAGTTCTCAGTCTTCCATGAAATATTCGATTGATGCATGTGCTGAAACAACATGTGCAGTTATCTGCTGTGCCTGATTCCCTATGAGGGTCTCATAAGAGACAAATGTCAAGCCTTGCGTTTTCCTTGGGATCTGATCCATGTATACGTCCTCATTTATAGTTGACTCCTAGTCCTCGATAGACTCAGTACTTGACTTCTTGATAACTGAAAGCTGTGCACTTCTAGAAGGCCGCTCAGCTTTCCAGACGGTGCGAACTGGTTCCAAGAAGGGACATTTAATAGTTAGGACGCATCCCGGTCCCTGCATAGCCCATAACACAATACGGCAACCCAGCCCCAAAGCAGCGGATTTCATCTGGAGGCGCCGAGGCGCCTTCAAAGTCTGCATTGCAAGATACAAGAACTGATGGTGAGATAACATCCGCCATAAACTTCAAAAAACATTTCTCGCACTTTTCCTGCAAGGAGCAAGAGAACAGCTTCGCCACCATAAGATCTGGACAAGAGCTGCAGGGTAGGGTACTTCATGCTTAGCAGGCACCTTTCTAGTGGAGCGCTGGCCATGGGCCCACACCTGGACCTGAGCAGCTCCTGCGCTGAAATGCAAGCCGAGTTTGAAGACGAACCCCAGGACCATGCAAAATCCTCTTGAACTGCAAGTTGACTCCAGAAACTCCCCAAATCTCACAAACACCCCACGTACCTATGAGGAGGGACACCAATGCTAGCCATCACCAAGCCCATAAAAGCTGACAGTCACTAGGCCCTCCTCAAAGTCAAATTCTGCCCAAAAAGCATAAACGACCCAAACGCCAAATCACTGCATAACCCTGTTTCTCCTCCGGCACGGAGCCGGGTGGCGTTAGGGACGCCCTGAGAAGGTTTTAGTTTCAGGGTTGAGAGTTTAGGGAATTGTGAGCTTGGCTTGTAGTTCTTAGGTTTTGGCACCCAAGCTCTGGTTCTGTAAAGGCTCATACCCCCTGATTGAAGTGTACTCCATCGCATCTAGCATGTCAACGCTAGGTCTAGAACAATTCCGTGATACTCTCTCCAAACGCTATAGGTATAAGACCCTGCCGATCTGTATCGAAATGACCGAGATGGCTAAACTAAGAACCCTCAAATTGTCCAGGCCACGCTCCCCGCCCCACCAAATTCTTCCCCTGAAAGGTTTTTTGTGGTATGCAATGGGCGCTATTACAATAACCTCCTACTCATGCTTGTAAGTCCTTCCACATCCCAAATCCTAGCCTCTTAAATTGCAAGCCAAAATCCCAAGCAGCGGACTGTAAACCCCACCTGCGAGCTTCTGGGACGTGACCCGAAATCTTGCGTTCTAGGCTGTTGCCATCTGCAATGTTGAGGGCTTAGATGGCACCTTCACGGTGAATGATTGAGGGATCTCCAGAACACGCGACCCTTGTTCTCCAACATCCTGAGACTGGTAACCCTACTGAAGACCCAACAGCAACCTACCCCTAAAGCCCCTTCATCACCGTTTAAACGTGTGATTGGAAAGAAGTCCAAGACCCGCACAGGCATAGAAATTTCTGATGCTGTTCCATAATGTCCTTTTTGCTGCAAACTACAGGCACGATATCGAAACAACGTCGAGCTACTGGCCTCAAATTTGTGCGCACGCTCTCCGCAGACGAGATGCAAACTGGATGCTGGAGTGCTGATGGTGCAATCTCGCGGAACTAGAACAAGTTTAGCCAGCTCTGACAAGGCTTTCATACATGCCCATGCGAAAATCTTACCTGGCAACAATCATGTCTATAGAGTCTATAGGGTGTGGCCAGTCTCTAGGTTGGATCCAAAACCAAAACCCTACAGCTCGAAGCAAGGCCTGAGGAAACATACCATCATCAGCCCAGCTAAGACCTGCGGAGCATGATTAGACAGTTTGTTTTCCTTGTGCCTCATTTCTTTCCTCTTAGTGTTACAGGAGGTGTCGCGCTGGGGCCCGGGTGTTTGAATATAGAGAAAATAGACATTATATTAAAGCTTCCTAGATTTACCATTATCCCTTTATCTGATAGATGTATTGAAGCAGCTTCGAATAATTCAGGTCCGTGGCCACACCTTAAACGCTGGCTATGCTTTACGCAAAAACCTGAGATAACATAAGATAACAATATGGTTTAAAACTATTTAGGTTTATAAACTTTGCTGGGGTTTATAAAC